TATTCCCTTTAAGCTCGAGTGTACCGATCCAACTCAAATCAACATCTCAATTAATTTTTATCTCGTTTTTATCATCAATTTATTCCATATCATTCAAGTCTTTAGATATTATACCTGACGAGATCGGAAAAGAACGGATCGGACTAGAAAATGGAAGAAAAACGGAGCAAGAAGCCGGTCGGGTCGGACCGGTCCAACTAGGGGCTGCTTGGACCGGATTTTGGGCTGCTGGGATGCTGTTGACCGGGTCAAAGAAACCAAAAGTGGGTTGCAGCAGCTGGGTCGCGCGGATCTGGACCGCTGGGGCTTGTGGTGGTTTTTTCGGCGGGTTGCTGGCCAAGATGCGCGGACGTCGGAGCTGCGGGCTCGACGGGAAAGCAACGGCGGAGCAGGTGGTCACGAGCTCGGGCTGAAGTGGCGGAACTCGGCGCTGCGGGCTCGCCGGAAATCGCAGGCCGGTGGTGCGAGGCTGAGCTTGCGCGACTGTGGAGGTGCGGACCTGCTGTACGGTCGTGGCGCTCGTGGCTCGTCGGGACGCGTGAAGGACGTGCTGAAACGAGGTGGTACTGGCAGATCTGTGGTCGTGACTCGCCGGGAAGGAGGCGTCGCGAACTCGCCGGAAAATGGGAGCTTGAAGGTGGACTGCAGCTGGGGACGAAGCTGCCGCGATGTGCGTCACCGGCGGAAATGGAGCTTGCCGTCGCGAGCTCGTGGTGGCGGACAGAGGTCGGTTTTGAGCTGCAGCGCCGGAGATGGTGGCTGCGGAGCTTGGGACACGGTTGCCGGAAACTGGGCGCTGCGAGGAGGACGCGTGAGCTGCGGGTTTTTGGGTCTTGGTCGGAAAATGAGGGTGGCTGGAAAATGGTCACGGTGGCTGGATCTTCAAGCCATGGAGGATCTTGGGAAGGAAGCTTTTGTGTTTGGATCTTGGATCTTATCTTGAGGATGAAGAAGATGAAGTGGGGAGGATGATGAAGGTGGCTAGGGTTTAGGTGTTGTCTCCATGTTGGGAGACAAGGGGCAAAGTCTATTTATAGGAGTAGGGAGCTTAGGGTTTTTGTAGGAATTGGGCTTAAAAATCGGGCCTAAATAGTTGGGCTCCATTTTAACAACTTGGGCTCGGATAAATAATTACTACTAGGCTCGATTTATAAAAATACTACTTGGGCTTAGTAATAAATAAATTATGCAATTAATTATTAATAATTCTCCGCATAATTAAAATAATACTAATACCAATAAATAAGTCGAGCTATTAATATAATTTTTGTCTAGGGTGTTACAATCTATCCTCCTTAAAACATTTCCGTCCCCGGAAATGACAAAACTAAACATAAGGCCAACTCGACTAAAACTAGAAACTGAAAATACAAAATACGGTACTACTAATCAGAACTGGAAATCTGGATAGCGAGCTCGAATCTCCTCCTCTCGCTCTCACGTGGCCTCGGTCTCGCGTGGCGAGTCCACTGGACTCGAACGAGCGCTACATCTCTGCTCCTCAGCTGCTGAACCTTTCGGTCCAGAATAGCAATCGGCTGCACCTCGTACGTCAGTTCCTTCCCGACGTCAAGCTCACTGTAACACAACACGTGCGCTGGGTCATACACGTAATCCTTTAGCATCGAAACATGGAAGACGTTGTGCACACCCGAAAGCTCGGGTGGCAACGCCAACCGGTATGCGGCCTCACCCACTCGCTCGAGGATCTCGAATGGGCCTAAGAAACGGGGCTGCAGCTTCCCCCTCTTCCCGAAGCGAACCACGCCTCTCAAAGGCGTGATCTTCAGGAATGCCTTATCTCCCTTCTCGAACTGGATATCTCGTCTACACTGGTTAGCGTAACGCTTCTGCCGATCCTGTGCCACCTTCATCCGCTCACGGATCAAGGCGACCTTCTCCACCGTATCCTCGATCAGCTTCGGACCGAGAACCTGCCGTTCGCCGACCTCATCCCAATAACAGGGTGATCGGCACTTGCGACCGTACAACGCCTCGTACAGTGCCATCCTGATTGACGCCTGATAACTGTTGTTGTACGCGAACTCCATCAACGACAACAACTCCTCCCATGAACTACCACGGTCCAGAACACATGCTCGAAGCATGTCCTCGAGTGTCTGGATGGTCCGCTCCGACTGCCCGTCGATCTGCGGGTGGAAAGCGGTGCTGAACCTCAACTGTGTCCCCACGGCCTCGCTGAGGCTCTTCCAGAACTGGCTGGTAAAACAAGGGTCTCGATCTGACACTATGACCTTGGCGACTCCATGAAGTCGCACTACCCCGCGAATATAGATCGTCGCGAGCTGGTCCATGGACATCGTCATCCGTACGGGCAAGAAACGAGCCGTCTTCGTCAGTCGGTCCACAACTACCCAAACCGCATCATGCTGCTCCCTCGATTTGGGTAGTCCCGTAACAAAATCCATGGTAAGCTCTTCCCACTTCCACAGTGGGATCTCCAAGGGCTGCACTAAACCCGGTGGAAACTTGTGCTCGGCTTTCACCTGCTGGCAAACCAAGCACTTCTTCACAAACTCAGCAACATCTCTCTTCATGCCCCTCCACCAAAACGACCCTTTCAGGTCATGGTACATCTTGGTGCTGCCGGGGTGCGCCAAATAGGGTGCACTGTGAGCCTCGGTCAAGATCTCCTTCCTCAGGGCCTCGACATTCGGCACAACGAGCCTTCCCTTATACTCCAAGGCACCATCCGCGCCTCGGTAAAACCCCTCTACGCCCTCGGCAACAACCTTCGCCCTCATGGAACGGACGAACTCATCAACGGACTGATCTCTCCGAACTCGATCTCGGAGCATGGGCCACACTCTCATCGACCGAACACCTCCTACTACAGGCATCGTAGGAAGTGACTCGACGACGTCTAACTGCATCCGAGCGAACTCTCGAAAGAGCTGACTCTGCTGGGTGATCATGCAAGTCAACTCGCCCCTCGCCTTTCGGCTAAGGGCATCAGCTACCACGTTCGCCTTCCCCGGATGATACTGAATGGTGCAATCATAATCCTTCACTAGCTCCAACCATCGCCTCTGGCGCATGTTGAGCTCCTTCTGCGTGAAGATGTACTGCAGACTCTTGTGATCGGTGTAGATCTCGCACCGACCACCATACAAATAGTGCCTCCAAATCTTGAGTGCGTGGACTACGGCTGCCAACTTGATGTCATGAGTCGGGTAGTTCTCCTCGTGGGGCTTCAGCTGTCGCGAAGCGTAAGCGACAACCTTGCCCTCCTGCATCAGCACGCACCCAAGTCCCTACTTTGAAGCATCACTATAGATAGTGAAACTCCGTGTAGGGTCCGGAATAGTCAGCACGGGTGCTGTAGTCAACCTCCTCTTGAGCTCCTGAAAGCTCGACTCACAACGGCTACTCCAATCGAACTTAGTCCCTTTCCTCGTCAAGCGTGTCAAGGGTAGGGCTATCTTCGAAAACCCCTCAATGAACCTCCTGTAGTAGCCTGCTAACCCGAGAAAACTCTGTATCTCGGTAACAGACCTCGGTGCTGACCAGTTCCTCACTGCCTCGATCTTCCCGGGATCGACCTCAATGCCCTCGGCCGTAACAATGTGACCGAGGAACGCCACTCGATCGAGCCAAAACTCACACTTCGAGAACTTGGCGTACAGTCTCTCCCGCCTAAGAGTCTCCAACACGATCCTCAAATGCTCCTCGTGCTGGGCTGTGCTCCTCGAGTAGACCAAAATGTCATCTATGAAGACGATGACAAACTGGTCCAATAATGGGTAGAAGACACGGTTCATGAGATCCATGAATACCGCCGGCGCATTGGTCAAGCCGAACGGCATCACGACAAACTCATAGTGACCGTATCGGGTACGAAACGCGGTCTTCGCCACGTCAGACTCCCGAATCCTCAACTGATGGTAACCCGAACGAAAATCTATCCGGGAAAACACACGGGCACCTCTCAGCTGGTCGAATAAGTCCTCTATCCTGGGGAGTGGATACTTGTTCTTCACCGTCAACCGGTTCAAGTCCCGGTAGTCGATGCACATGCGCAGTGTCCCGTCCTTCTTCTTCACAAAGAGGACAGGTGCTGCCCAAGGTGAAACGCTCGGCCGGATGAAGCCGAGACCCAACAACTCCTGAATCTGAGCCTTCAACTCCTGAAGCTCTTTCGGCGCCATACGATACGGCGCTTTCGACACTGGCCCAGCTCCAGGCAACAGGTCGATCGTGAACTCCACCTGACGGCTAGGTGGTCCTCCCGGTAGCTGATCCAGAAAAACGTCCACGAAATCTCTCACTATGGGTACATCTCCGGGCATGCGCTCCTCTGAAGGTTCCCCGAGTATAGTGAATAGATAGCCCTGACAATCATCCCTCCGTAGGCACTTAGTCGCTTTCGCCATGGAAATGATACGCGGTAAAGTCCTCGTCCTCGTCCCGAAGAATGTGATGTGGTCTCCATCGGCTAAGTGCAACGTCACCTCTCTATCACGGCATCGGATGTCTGCGTGGTATCTCTCCAACCAATCCATGCCGAGAATAAGGTCAAAGTCCCTCATCTCGATCACGAATGCGTCTACCTCTAGAGTTCTGCCTCCAATACACATGCTAAGGTTCTTGGCCAGGGAATTCGTGACTATCTTCCTCCCCGAAGCTAGGCTGATCTCGAGGGGGTCGACGTCACTCACACCCTGAACCCCTATGGCCTCTAGACACTTGGTCGAGACGAACGAATGTGTCGCCCCGGTATCGAACAAAGCAAAGACAGGTACATCGAGTAAAGAGAGCATGCCAGACATGGTACCTGGCTGCTCGGCGGCCTGCTCCTGGTCAAGTGCGTAAATCGGGCAGGTGCACCTCGAGGTGGGTGCTGAGCTGGCTGTCTCGGTGCTGGCTGTCTCTGAGCTGGAGGTCTCTGGCCCTGCTGCGGCTGTGGGCGATCTGGGTAGTCTGCGATCCTATGACCGGGCCTGCGGCAACGATAGCAAATGTCCTGCCCAGCTAGGCACTCTCCCCGGTGGGCGCGCTGACAAGTAGCGCAAATAGCTGGGGGCTGCGGGACCGGTGGTGCTGCCTGAGCTGGGGCTCCTGGTCGACGGTTCCTCCTATCGTCGCGACCTCTCCACTTCCTCTTGTTTCGGTGCTGCGCCTGCTGAGGTGGCGCTGGCAGGGCTGGCTGGACGGCAGCTGGCTGTCTGGCTAGTGGTGCCACTTGAGCTAGTGGCTGTGCAGGAGTGTCTAGCAGCTGGGATGCCTCAATCTGCTGGGCTCGCTCAACGGTCTCAGCATAAGTCAAATAGCCATGGTTGGCTACGAGCACTCGAAGGTCTCTGGTCAGGCCGTTGCGAAAAAGGGAGGCCTTCTTGTCGTAGGTGTCCACAAGATGACGTGCAAAGGTGCTCTTACGAGCGAACTCCCGCTCGTACTCCTCAACCGAACGGTCTCCCTGAAGCAAGTCATAGAACTCTCGCTCCATCCTCTCGCGAAAGTGGCGAGGGTAGTACTTGGTTTCCAAAATCCCCTTAAGCTGATCCCAAGTCAGCTGGTCTCGGTCATCAGCTGTCCTGAGACGCCAGTAATCGTCCCACCAGTCGCCGGCCGCACCCTCTATCTGAAACTCGGCACAAGAGACCATGTGCTGGTCGGATATGCCCATCATCCGGAAAATACGATCCATCTTGCGGATCCAGTCTCCTACGGCCAACGGGCCCTCCTCTCCAGTGAACACCGGAGGGGCGTAAGTCCGGAACTGGGCTGCGACTACTGACTGATCCCGCTCTGCGGGTGGGGCTCTACGGGGCGGCATTCTGAATAGCCAAATAACAACTTGATTAGTATAGCCAATTAATAAATAGCCACACTACTTGACGAATTTAAGTAATTTACCGAAAACACCTAGTTTGGCTAGAGTTCCAGTTTCTGCTTAACTCTACTGATTCTAGCTCGAACTCTGATATAGTCTAGAGTTGGACTTAGATAAACTTTCTATAATTCTGTCTAGAGTTCTCTTTCTAGTCGGAGGATAGATGGCCCCTAAGGTTTCTTACTATAGTCTCATGCACTTGCAGAAATTTAAAAACTTAGGTGACTTACCTCGGAGTCGGCGCGGCGTGAGCGTGATGTGGTCATGCTTTTCTAAACTTTTAAGTATACAGAACCACAAAGTGGCTCTGATACCAACTGTAACACCCCGCCTAATTATTCTAGAATTTATAAAATCAGAGTAAAATTTTTGCTTTTTATTTTCGAAAAACTCTTTAACTTTATTTTCGAAAATACTCATACTAACTCGCGGGATGCTACTAACTTAAACTCTTTCTCATGCAGACGTAAATAAATACATGCAACCTAATCAAATCTGTTACATAAAGGTACCACGGAGATAAAGGCATTATACATGCATAAGTCTGATAATCTCGTAATACATACTAAGTCTGAAACGTGCGGAAGCTGAAACATAATATGTCTACGCATAGTAATAATAGTACATGTTCAATAAATGACATGCAGATGCGTTACAAAAAGACAGCTAATGACCATGACCACCACTGAAATCTCACACGCCATGCGCCGCTCCGTCACCTGAAAAACGTAATGGGGGCGTGAGCAAAACCACTATGCTCCGCAAAGACTAGTACTTAATTATGCAACATCGTTAATAACAATATCATGACTTTAAGTATATAAGAACTGATCTGAACTAAAACTGTAACTGGGGCATCTGGTGGTCAAAGACCCTGTGGCTTAAAAGCCAATCATGTGCACACTCCGGGGGATCATTAAGGCCAATTAAGGCCTCCCTCAGAATCACGGGGGATCATTAAGGCCCGCCACGGCCTCCCTCATGATGATCTAACTATTTCTCATACATACCTCGGACATGGTACATAAATTAAAGATGAAGTATAACCAGTACGTGACCCCCACCTGATAACTGCTACTGCTAGGCAAGTGCTGACTCACTGGTAGCTGTCGGAGGCTCGACTCTCCTTAAGCTACATAAATATTCGAGCAAAATGTACTAAGTACTAAGCTCAAATAAAAAACTTGATTCTTATTATTAATAAATCTTACTCGGTTCTCTCGCTCGATTAAAATATCATTTAATCTGGATTTAGATGCTTTGAGCTGTTCTGAAAAGATTTGCTGACTTTGAGGCATTCTAGAGTTCTCTGAAATATTTCTAAGTCTGGTCTGCTTATCTGATTTATCTGATCTAACTTATCTGACTGATCTGATCTTATTTATCTCACTGGGTGCAACTCGACTTAATCGTGGTCCGGGTGCATACGCACGGACACGACATCAGTGGACGTACAACTTTTCTACTCGGATCTAGAGTTCATCCGGAGTGACCAAAAAAGGCCAGACTAGGGTTCTCTACTCGACCGGCTATCTGTCCTGGTTCAAGTCAAAAACTCAAACTTTAAGTTCAACTTAATTTCTAGTGATTTTAGCTAAATCTCAACCGGATAAATTCTAGGGTTTTCACCAAAGCAGCTAAAGTCTCGAAT